CACAGCAAAATCGGAACGGGGTCTGAAACTGATAATTTCTGAGCACTTAGAAAAAAGTGATGACTGCTCAGAGCTAGCAAGAATTCACGGAGAACAAGTCATTTCCCAATTTGGTAGTTTCCAGATGAGCAGGCAAGTAACAGCCATGTAGGCAGAACCTTACCCAGGCATTTGACAAGGTTTCACAAGATCATTTTAGCAATGAGGTGCCTCCTGCAACATTCCCCTTTGCTCCCAGCTTCATAGTCATCAACAACCTGTTCATTCCTTGGTAGCCACACGTCACCTGAGTAACTTTTCTTCTGTAGGATTTGATTAATGTCTGTCTCCCCGCTATAGACTGAATGTATTTCCAAAATTCTTATGTTGAGATCCTACCCCAATGTGATGGTATTAGGACTCAGGGTCTTTGGGAGGGAGTTGGGCTTAGATGAGGTCATGAGGATGGAGTTCTCATGAGTGGGATTAGTGCCCTTATAAGAATCATGAGAGCACTTCCTTCCTGTCTCTGCATTCCACATGTGGGGATACAATGAGAAGTTGGCAGTTTGCACCCAGAAGAGAGCTCTCACCAGAACCTGATCATGCTGGCTCCCTGATCTTGGACTTCAGCCTTCAGAACTATAGAAATAAGCTACTGCTGATTATAAGCCACCCAGTTATACCTTAGTGCCCAAGGTGACTAAGGCACTCCCCCAGGAGCACAGGGACTTTTGCTCCCATATGATGTCTGCATCTAGCATAGCTCCCAGCTCAACAAGTAATTTGTTGAATGAATGGAGGCAGCATGGCGTGGTAGTTATGGGCACAGACTCTGGGGCAAACTGTCTCTACTGGCTGTGTGACCTTAGACAAGTTACTCAATCTCTCTGACCCTCAGCTTCCCCATCTGAAAAATAGGGAGAGTTATAGTACCCACCTTGTAGGGTTGTTATGAAGGTTAAATGAGTTCATATGGTGTATTTAGAACACTACTGGCAAATACTAAAGACAATATGAGTTTGTTAGATACACAAAACAAACAGGTGCTACACAGGCATTAATGAATAAGTATTAATTAAACTGAAAGAAAGTTTGATTTTTAAAATGAAATACAAGTGGACTGTTGTTGAAATATAGGCCGATGGCCAAATTAAATTGACTAGAAACAATAAACTGTTGAAATAACAGAAAACAGAATTCATATTGAATTCCGCCTCCATTAGTAAGTTTGTGACTACATGTTGGGAAAACAACTGCTTATAACTGGGAATATATCCAACATCGTAAGAGAAATTCAGGCTCGAATCCTTAATATATTCAATGAAATGCTTTAGGTGTGTCTGATGCTATTGACTAGTCATATGTTGGGTTGAATCATTTATGTCAAAAATCAGCAAATCAAGACTATAAGTCCCAAATAAACTTTCCAAAACCACCCACACCCACTACACATCTTTATCCATCCAGCCTTCGAGAACCGTCTCCGTGAGTGCCCGGTACAGAGCACAGTGCAAGGCAAGGAGGTGCCTCTGGTTAAAAGACAACACAATCAATACAGAAAATGCAGACACCACACATCCCTACCGGCCCGTATCTTATTCCCAAACAGTCTTTCAAGTAAAGGAGGGTAAAAAAAATAACTGGTTCAACATTTATCCTTTGAGAGTGTATGACTTTATTACTTTATTAATGAAAACCTACAGATTTAAGTTTTCACAGGACTAAAGCCAGGTAAGAGTTCTGATATATTATTGTAGGGTCTCTGTCAGTTTTTAAGGTTTCACTGTTGTTTCAAGAGAAAGAGGAAGAAGTCAACCAAGGAAGGGAAGGCAGCTGCATTGTGAAGAAGGGAAGCTTAGGAAAGGAGACAGGGTCAAAATCAGAGCCGCTGCAGCAAACTAGGAAGGCACTACTAATGTCTGTTCCTGGGACTAAACAAGTGGCTTTAGCTTGTTTAATTCAGTGTGTATGCATGCAATAGCGAATGAAAACTGCGAGTTGTTTTAGTGAAAATATACCAACAGAAGGGAGATTTAGTTTTCTTCAAGAAAAAAAGAGAGTCAGCTGTGGGGCCAGATTTTCATCCAGCTTTAACCGTGAGCTGATTCTAATTGCGAGAAAAGGCTCTGTTTAAATATTTGTCCCTGGAGAGACGGCGGGTTGGGTTATGGCTCGGTGCACAGATCTGCTAGTTGTGGGAGGCTGCAGTCAGCAACTGGGGCTGTGGTTAGGGGGAGATGATGGCTGACAGTGCAGAGAAGGGAAATTCACACCACATACCCCTTGGGGTGGCAAAAAGTCCACTTCTCCATGACCTGGTCCTTCTTACCTTATCAGCTTCATCTCTCTCCCATGTGCTGGAACATGGCTCTTTTCCACTTCTGTGTCTCACCCATGCTGCTTTCTCTGCCCACAATTCCCCTAAACTGTCTTTCACATTCTCCAAGCCTTGGGTGTCACCTCCTCCAAGAAGCTTCCCCCAGCTACCAAGTGGGAGACATCCCTCCTTTGCACCTAGTGCCACAATCACCTGCTACTGTGCATCTCTGGCCACATATACTGTGTACTCGTTTTGGGCAGGGGACACAATTTAATCAACTATATTTCCAGCAACAGTGCCTGGCCTGGGGGAGATGCAGTAAGTACATGTGGGATGTTGAAAGGTGTCAACCCAATGTATAACATTCAAAGACACAGCAGGACAATCCATTCTGGACTTTCAAAAATGGCTAAGTACTTTCCATAGAGGAATGACTGAGAATAAAGGCAAAGAAGGTACTGGAAGTCATTTGTGACCAAGGCCCCTTTACCTATTAATAGCCCATGTGATAAAAATCATATATAATATAACATATCCATGCATTCTGTGGTTACCATGACCTTTGGGGACAAGGAATACTCTCTGACACCTCACAGGTTCATGCTAGGGTCTTACCATGTGGATATTGCAGAGTCTGCAAGTACATCAAATACCTGAAGTCCCCAATACAGCGTGTAGATTTAGCTGTCCCGGAAGCAGCACATTCTAGAAAGCAGAGTACAGGCCCTGCCCTGATAAACCTCAAAGCAAAGACAATGGGCATGAAGCAGGGGCATTTCTGATGAGTCAAAGTTGGCAGAAAAAGCCACTCAGTGGCTAAGAGTCAAGCAGGTATTTATAGCAAGCCAAGTAGAAGCTATACACCCTGAAAGAACATTATTCCACACACTATTAAAAATATATAGGGAGTATATTCCTTCCTTCACCAAATAGAAACACTCTCTTTTTATCCACGTACTTTAGGATTAATTTTATAAAGTAGAATTGCTGGACCAAGGGTATATACTATTTTCCTGAGAGAGGACACTTTTTATTTTAACACAATAGCAATTATTGACCTTAAAAATTAAACAATAACTCTTTAATGCCATCTAATATCTCATCAGTGTTCAGATCTCCCCAACTCATGAATATCATCTATAGTTGATTTGAATCAGGATTCAAGTAAGGTCCATACTTGGTATTTGGCTTATATGTCTCTTAAATCTCTGCTGAATTATACAGTTTCTAACTCCTCTTACTTGCTGTTTATGTGTTAAAGAAATTGAGTCACTTGTCTTATAGAATTGATCACATTTTATATATGACTGAAGCAACCTTGTGGAATCTTTATTTTTTTAAAGTTTGGTATTTTTTCAAGGTGTAATTGGCATACAATAAACCACATGTATTTAATTTGGTAAATTTTGATGTATGTATACACCGGTAAAACCAACACCATGATCGAGATAATGAACATATGCACCAGCCCTAAACTTGCCTTGGGCCACTTTTTAATCCTTCCCTCCTGCCCCATGCTGCTCCCTGATCCCTCAATTACTAATCTGTTTGTTGTCACTTTATCTCTTTTTTAAATTAAAAAAAAATATATATCTTTATTGATTTCAGAGAGAGGAAAGGAGAGGGAGAGAGAGAGATAGAAACATCAATGATGAGAGAGTCACTGATCGAGCCTGCAACCCGGGCATGTGCCCTGATGGGGAATCGAACCCCGATCGCCTGGATCCTAGATTGATGCTCAACTGCTGAGCCACGCCCGGCAGGGCTGTTGTCACTTTAGATTAGTTTTCAATTTTTGGAGTTATATATAAATGAAACACATAAAGTATATACACTTTTTTGGTCCGGCTTCTTTTACTCAGCATAATGGAGACTCACTTGTGTTTTTGGTTCATCTTTTTTTATTGCTAAGTACTATTCCACTGTATGGATACACCACCATCTGCTTTATCTAGTCACAAGTTGATGGGCGCTTGCATTGTTTCCAGTTTGGGGTTATCGTATTTAAAGCTGTCTGAACATTCGTGCACAAGTCTTTGCATGAGCATATGCTGTAATTTCTTTTGGGTAAATAGACATGGAACAGCTGAATCACATGGTAGGTAAATATTTACCTTCTAAGAAACTGCCAAACTGCTTTCCAAAGCAGCTGCACCATTCACATTCCTACCAGTAGTGTATGAGAATTCATACAACTAAGTTTTGGGGGAGTTGAAAGCTATATGTGGATTTTTGACTCTGTGTGTGGGGGCTCAGTGCCCCTAACCCTCCATTGTTCAAGGGTCAACTGTAAAAGGTTTGCTTACTCACTGAAGACAAAGGCAAGGGCACGTGCTGCCTCTTTGTCTGGTTATGTTGGTTAAGTGCTTTCTGGGAGTACCAGGAAGGATGCCCTGACAGAGACATGGGTTCTATAAAGTGTTCAGTGTCTTTAGTATCCATGGGCCCCATGAGGTGGGTAGGGGCCTGAGGGAACCTGAGAAGGATTCAACTATATGGCCAGGGATAGGACTTGTACTTGTCACATGGCTAAGGAGTGTTAGCCCTTGGGATATGATAGAAGACACATATGCCACCAGTTACTCTGTGAATGAATAAATGGAGCAGCTTTAACCATAGTGATGATGACAACACCTGGCAAAGCCCCACGGGGCCCAACCCACCAGTTCGTCCATTGGACCTGGCAACCCTGACTGACCTGTTTGATGTAGGTGGTCTCTGGCCACCTCAAACAAGCGCAGGTGCATGTTGGTGATGGGGTTGAAGGAGCCACAGGCCAGGAGCACCACAGGGATTCGGCTCTTCATCTTGTCAGGCACTTCTACACCTGCTGCAGTGGCCACTCTACCTTATGGGGACAAAGACTCATGTCAGGAAGTTGGCACCAAGATCAGTGTCTCTAATCCACACTCAGCACATTACTTCTTACTTATTAGATGACAGAGGAGTCAATAATAACAATAACAGCATTTTTGGAGGGCTCACCATGGGCCAGGAACTGTGCTAAGCACTACATCAAACAATATCCTTCTCTTGCCAAATCCTTCAACAACCCAAATGGTTACTTACACGGCTCGGGGACCTTAGAAGCTGCAGGGCCAGGACTGAAACCCGGGCACCCTCACCTCAGGGAACATGATTTACTCTTAAGCTCTATACCCTCCTTGGTGTCTGATGGGTCTCCTTGGGGTCAAAAGGAGGTATATAAGACCCCTATAATGTCATCTTTGATAGTCTAAGTAGAACTCAGGTCCCAGAGTAGACCAGTACTTTAAAAAAATCTCGTTTTAAAACAATTTCTGACTTACAACAAAAGTTTCAAAACTTATGCAAAGTTAACATTTTACCACACTTGCTTTATCATTCATTCTCTCTTTACACACACACACACACACACACACACACACACACACATCTACCTACAAATAGCTTTTTTCTGAAATGTTTGAGATTAAGTTATAGATATAATACTTCTTTACCTCTAAATACTTTAGTATATGTTTTCTAAAAACAAAGACATTTTCTTATATAACTGCAGAGCAATGATTAAAATCAAGAAATTAATATGGTTACAAGGCTATTATCTAATTTTCAGATCTTTTCTGATTTTACTCGTTGTCCTTTACGTGGGGCCCAAGCATTTTGAGAGGGCCTAGCCCACCCTCTTGTCTCTGAATGCTGTGGCTTTTAGCACTGGGGAGGTTAAAGGAAAGCAGAAAACAGCCTGGGCTCCAGGGCAGACTGGCAGACATGGCTCTCCGACCCTGAGATGCTGCCTCCTTGAGTGGTGATGAAGAGCTCCACCACAGTTAGGTCTTGGTTTGACTCCTAGTTCTCTTACTGGCTGTGTGATGTTGGGCAAATCACAGCCCCTCTCTGAGCTTCAGTTTCCTAATATTCAAGATAGGGATAATATTACTTACTCTTATATGGTGGTTGTGAGGATAAATGAGCTACATATGGAAAGTGTCTGGTACATAAGAAGTGTTTAATAAGTAATCACGGTGGCTATGGTGATGATAATGGCAATGATAAAAAAGCTGCTGCTGCTGCATGACGGGAAGAGAAGGAGAAAGGCGGCAGTGTGCTTGTGTTTGGCAGCTGCCAAATGGCTCCCAGTGATCCTCACCTGCCAGTGTCCACCTATAGGCCCCTCACCGTGAGTATGGGCTGGATTTGTAACTTGCTTCTAATGAATAGCATACAGCAAAGGGGTGGAATTCCACTTCTGAGAGAAGTTACAAAAAGACGCAGGCTTCCCTCTTCTGCTTTCTCACTTGCTCATTCTGATAAAGTCAGCTGAGAGAACCATGAGGCAAGGAATGGAAGGAGACTTCTGGTGCCAAGAGCTGATAAGGAACTGAACCCTGCCAATAACCATGTGAGCGAATGTGGAAGTGGATCCTTCCCAGCCGAGTCTTCAGATGAGACTGCGGCCCTATCCACATCTATATTACTCACCTACAGAAATGATGAGATCATAAATGTGTGTTGTTGTTTTATTTTTTTAATCCTCACCTGAGGATATTTTTTTTCATTGCTTTACAGAGAGAATGGAAGGGAGGGAGGGAGAGAGAGAGAAACATCAATGTGAGAGACAAATCGACTGGTCGCCTCCTGCATGCAACCCAACCAGGGCTGGGGATCGAGCCTGCAACTGAGGTACGTGCCCCTCACCAGAATCAAACCTGGGACCCTTCAGTCCACGGGCCAACGCTCTAACAGCTGAGCCAAACCAGCTAGGGCTAAACGTGTGTTGTTTTAACCTGCCAAGTTTGAGGTAATTTGTTATGCAGCAACAGGTAACTAATACAGTGGCCAACAGGAGGAATGCATTCACTTCCTTTCTCACTTCTCTTGCTATGGTGGCCTTGGCTGTAATTCTGCAGTTCCAGGGGTAACATGGAGAGTTATACCACTGGAACCTGGGACCCTCTTTGTATCTAGGGAAGCTGTTTTAATCTGACCCCTGTTGTCTGCTTCTCCAGGCTTGTATCCAACTGTTGCCTGACTCTTACTTTATATTCCAGCAGCAATGAACTACTTGTGAGTGGTTCCTTTGTGAACTCCTCATGGATTCCTGCTTCAAGCTTTTGTACATGCCATTTCATTTTCCTCCAACTGAAATAACCCCATTACACCCTAATCTGTTAAAACTCAACTCAGGTGATCATATTACTTATGACTTCAATCACAATTTCTTGACTGCCTGCTAGGTGCCTGTTATCAGTTAGGGATGCATTTGGCTGCAAGTCTTAGAAACCTAACCTCAGTAGCTAAACCTAACCTCAATAGCTTAAACAAATTGAGGTTCTTTGTTTCTCACATGACAAAAAGTGTAGAAGTTGGCAGCCACTGGCATTGGATCACTGGCTCACCAATGACCTGCAGTTCTCTCAGCTTTTCCCTCATGAGGACAAGATTGCTGCTGGAGCTACAGCCATCATGAGTACAATTAAGGCCAGAAGAATTAAGGTGCGATACTAGACTGGCTATCCCTCTTACTCAAGAACATAAGAGCTTTTCCAGAATGCCTTCCCCCATAGATTTTGCTTCTGTCTCATTGGCCAGAACTAGGTCACATGGCCACTCTAGCTATAAGGGAGGCTGGAAAGGCAACTATCTAGCTTTTCAGCTTCTCCAGTGGGAATGAGAGAGGTAAAGGGAATTGGGAACAGGATTTCCACAGTGTCTGCCACAGAGCTGGAGATACAACTGTCAGGGAGCGGACAGTGGAGAAGGCTGCTGAGATGACTCTCTGGCACTTAGCTTGGGTTAGCTAATCTTTGACTCACCTTTAGAAAATCACATATCATATCTATTGCAAAAACCTGCTCTGTGTCTTTCCTACTCATGAGATAGTAAAGTCCCTTATGAGCAGGAGCAGGAGCAGGAGGGGGAGCAGGAGCAGAAGCAGGAGCAGGAGCAGAAGCAGGAGCAGGAGCAGGAGCAATGTTTTCTCCACCTCTGAATCTCAGCCAGCTTCAAGCACAGAGCTGGGCCCTGGGTAGGGCTCAATGAAGACTGAAAAGGGCACTGGCCAGCTGGAGAGTAGATCTGCATCCTGGTGGTGGGAAGGCCCAATGCACCTCCTAATGTAAAGTTGTCCTGGATGTATTCTGAGTTACAGTATAAAGAAAAACAAAACACCTCTCAACCCAGGTGGGCTTCTTTTGAGGCAGCAGGAACACCCCCCACTGGATCAGAAGAAAGCAGTCTGCAAGCTGCTGCCGCTAGTGCTTCCCAGGGCAGCCAAGTGATTTAATGAGATATTATTTGCAGTGTGCTGAGCTACGCACACGAGCAGCCTTGTGATGGGTGTTATCTGAAGAGGTTGGCTGTTTTTCACAACTATTATGAAGCCTTTCAAAATTCTATTTCATTTTGACAAAATGTAATTTTTTAGGGCCCTTAAAACATGTAACTGCTGCATTTCAGGTAACCTGGGGTTTTGATCCATTTTTCTAAAAGTTTCCTGGAAACTGTAAATTACAACACTTGTTTGAATGGTGGCATCCATGGCAGTGAAGTGTGATGTTGGGAAGAAGAATAAATGATATTTAACAAGGGTCTTTCTTTTCGTTCCTTGCCATGGGCACGCTGAGCCACACTGCTCTAACAGTGACTTGTACCTTCTGGGCAGCACCTCAGGCCGGAGGCGGCAGTGAGTTCTCAGGCTCAGGAACGAGGTCGGTGCACCTGCATCATTTCTATACTCTAATTGGCTTCAAATACACACCCTCCCAAGCCCAAACCTAGAGAAATATAATGGCAGGTTTGGAATGGACTCACTCCAGGGGACCACCAGGAGAATAAACCTGGCTCCAATTGGAATGCAAGTCTCATCAGACACAAGGCCAGAAGCATCCCATAAATGTGACTCATCTGCCCTATCATGTAGTAATACCCAGCACCACGAAACAAGTCTGGGAGGGAGACTTTTGCTACTGGGAAAGGCTTCTCATCAGTAAGCATTTAATGGAGGTCCACACATGAGCAATAATTTAACAAGTTGAGAAGGCAGCATACAGCCTTCTTGGAATTCATCATTAAACTGGAAATGAGGAAAACAGATTCCACTTCTGGCTCTGGCTTCCTCTCCAGTGTACCGCTTCCCACTTTACAGTCACCCAGACAGCATTTCATCCCCCTCGACAAATACAACACGCGGCTTCCTTTCTCCTGGCTTCTGCAGGTGCTGTTTGGAGCTCCTGAAACACCCGCCTCACCCTTGCAGTCAAGGTTTTCTCCTTGGAGTCTTTACCCAATACCCCCCACCCCCATTGTGCTAATATACCTGCTACACATTTGATCACTTCCTTCCTTCGTCAACCACAGAGCCATCATGGCTTCATTCCCACATCACTGTTCCCCAAGCAGGTGGATTCCTACAGGGTGGTTACTTATTCATCTAGGTCCCCTCAGATTCTGCACTGCGCCCAGGATACAGGGGCTCAAGAAATGTGTGGAATGAGTGAGAGAATGACTGACTGTCCCCAACCACGCATCACCCCTTTTAGATGACTACCTTCTCTCTCTGGTTTTGTCCCAAACAGCCCAGAGATATAAGCTGACCTTTCTGTCTTCCTAGAGGAACTTAAGACCACTCCCCAAGACCCCACCCCACCTGACTCAGATGGAAATCAAATGAAGCATTTCTGCCCTGATGTGCCATCTTCAGTGCCAGGATCCCACCAACAGGAACATACCGGTCTCTTACACATGGACAGCAAGGTCGTCCCTCTGCCCTGGAGAACTGGAGCGTTGCAACAGGCTGCCACTTTGCCAGGCAAAGGGGCTTTGCAGATGTGATTAAAGTAAAGATCTT